GAGCACACTGTCCCTTAGCTCTTCAGCTCAAGGCTAGTGCCCTACCACTTGAGCCAAAGTGCCACTTCTGGCTTTTTCTGCCAATGTGGTGCTGATGAATCAAACCCAGGGCCTCATGCATGCAAGGCAAGCACTCTGCCACTGAGCAAACTTCCCAGCCCCTTAAATGAATTTTTAAAGAAAACAATATAGGAAGACAAATGGCAATTTAAAAATTATGCTTAAGTGGAAATGGAGGTCTGACTCAAATGGGTAGAGCACCAGCCTTGAGCAAAAAAGCCGAATGAAAGCATGGTGAATAGGACACAGATCATTTCTGCTTTCATAGAGCTTGTTTATTAGTGTGTACATAAATAAACATACTATTATAGCTTGAATTAGTTCATGACGAACCTTCTACATTATAAACACAAGGGTAAGATCATTTCAAAATGTATGCTTTGAAAAGGACTGTAAGAACTGAAGGATGACTAGGAGTTAACTAGGTCAGAATCAGAGCATAGTGAAGGGATTTGAGCATCATACATCTTCTGAGGTTGGGAGTAGGCAGGTTAGAAATGGATTGGCATCCTTGAGGCTCTGAAACAAGGATAGTGTGGTTATAATGCAGAGAGAATTATGAAATTGCATAATAAAGTTAGGGCTTCTGGGTCTTTACTTAATGATACAGGTTTAGCATGTTACCCCCTCAGGTTTAGAATTCTTAAGTTTTGTTACTCTTAAGTGAAAAATTGAGATTGATATATGGCTTTGAAAATGTGAAAAAAGTATCAATGGATTAGGACATAATTGGTTTATCTATAAACATAAGGATGTTGGTGGTTTGTTGTGGAAAGATTGTGGGCTCTGAGTCATGAACTCAGTTCATTTCTGCTCTCTAGTTTAATGATGTGGCCTTTGGCAAATTACTGTCTCTCTGAGCCTCTGTTCTTTCATTTGTGGAATGGAACAGATAGTGCCTTTTGTTGTGAGAATGAAATTAAGTAAAGTAGAAAAGTATTCAATAGAGGGCCTGGTTCATACAGATGTATAAATGTACCTTTTGCAGTTATTATTTATTTACCTCCTTCCTCCTCAATATCAAGGGACAACTGCTAGACTGTCCATAAAGCATGAGCAAAGCAAACGTGATGGACACAACGAAAGCATGACAAACCATTATGTCTGAAGTAACATTAGAGTATTTCAAAAGTAGTCCTTGCAAGAGTCTTGCAGTCTATCTCAATGGCAGTTTTTTTTCTTATTACAAATGTGCATCAACTGAATTGATAATGTACTTGGGAAAATTGTCTTTGCATTTCACAAAAAGAATGAGATGACTAAATTTTCTATGAAAAGCCATAATAATGCAGAACACTTCGTAGTCTTTGCAGAGTGGCATTTAATTCTAGTAAAATGAAGACTTCCTAACAATGCTAACATACAATCTTAAAATAATAGAGTTCATACAATTAACTAGTTACATTTAGAATAAGCAAGATATACTACTTGGGAGAAAGAAACCTGTTAGATAGATGTTTGTGGTATACTATATTATTAACATAACAAAAAATATAGGATCAAAAACGTTGAATTGTATTATTGGAGGATAATGAATTACTTTTCCAGTTGGGAGTTCTCAGTGTATGGAAGCCAATTACCAATTGTGTTCAAAATTTGCAATTTTTTTTTTCCAGCAAAGCAAAATTTATTTCTGTAGAAGGATGTACCATCAGCCAAAACTCTGGCAAGCAAAACTCACAGAGCAGGCAGGCTGCACCCCTCACTGTTTATCCCTAACGTTAGGGCCTGCCCCTTTGCTCAGATTGATTGAGCTCAGGTTCACAGTCTGCTTATGATTAGCTAGTTTCAATAAGGTAAAATATATTTACATAAGGTGACTTTGAAATAAGATTTGAATGCTAATGAAATGTCCAGTTTTGGTAATGGCAGTGAATATTTTATGAAGAAGAAAAACCACTTGGAAGCCGAGCACCAGTGGCTCACGCTTGTAATCCTAGCTACTCAGGGGGCTGAGATCTGAGGATCGCAGTTCAAAGCCAGCCTAGGCAGGAAAGTAAGACTTGTATCTCCAATTAACCACCAGAAAACTGTAAGTTGCGCTGTGGCTCAAGTGGTAGAGCTCTCATTTTGAGCTGAAGAGCTCAGGGACAGCGCCCAGGCTCAGAGTTCAAGCCCCATGACCAACAAAAACAAACAGAATACCACTTGGGAAAATATATTTTGGGCTAGTCATGCTGGCATGTCTATAATTCTAACATTTTGGAGGAAGGTCCAGCAAAATGGAAGCTAGTTGGTACTACACAGCAAGACATTTTTTTTAAAAACTGAAGATGGTCCATGTGTGGCACATACCTGTAATCCTATCTACTTGGGAGGTGGAGTTTGAGAAGTCAAGGTTTGAGGGCAGTCCAGGCAAAAAGTTAGTGAGATTCCCTTTCAACAATGAACCAGGAATGATAGTGCATGCCTGCATTCCCAGCTACTGTTATTTGAGAGGTGAAGGGAGAGGGATTTCAGTCTGAAAGCAGCCCCAGGCAAAAACTTGAGATCCCCATCCAAAAACTAACCAAGGCATAGGCCAGGCACCAATGGCTCACCCCTGTTATCTTAACTAGTTTGGAGACTGAGTTTGTGAGGATTGCATTCAGGCCAGACTGGGCAGAAAAGTACATGAAATTTCATTTCAATTCCTAACTGGGTATAGTGGCACACACTTGTCATCTTAATCCTCCTATTGGGGAGGATCATGTTCCTAGGCCAATTGTGGCAGAAAAAAGAGACTCCATCCCAATGGATAGAGATGGGATGAAGTAGCAGTCATCTGTGATCCCAGAAATAAGAAGCCTAAAGCAGTCTAAAGCAGTTAGGTACATGCCTAGGTTGGAAAATGAGACTGTATCTCAAAACTTACCAAAGAAAAGGAAGGTTTGAGGCATAATACCCTGAGTTCAAACTTCAGTGTCACCCTAAAATAAAAATAGTAGTAACTAAAACATAAAAACATTGGAAGGCATCCTAGTACTGCCAGAAATTTTTTTTTAAAAAAGAGAGAGATACCTATTTGTGTTCTATGCTCTACTTATTGGTTGCAGAGGGGAGGTATATATGTATACTAGAGCTTTTTGTTGTTAAATCAAAGAGGTTTCAATTCAACATATCAATAGTATAGTGTAGAAAGGTTTTTCAATAGAACATGGTTAATTTGAATGTTTCAATGTTTAAAGAAGTTTTTGTTTTAATTTTAATTATTTAGGAATAATTTTAGTTTTAGAAAAAAGTTTTATGGGGCTGGGAAGGTGGCTCAGTGGTAGAGCTCTTGCCTTGCAAGACTGAGGCCCTGGGTTCGATTCCTCAGCACCACATAAGCAAAAAGAAAAAAAGCCAGAAGTGGCACTGTAGCTCAAGTGGTAGAGCGCTAGCCTTGAGCTGAAGAGCTGAGGGACAGTGCCCAGGCCCAGAGTTCAAGCCCCACGACCGGACCCCCCCCCCAAAAAAAAAGTTTTATGTATAAGAAAACACCAAGTAATACCTGATCCCATATTTATTTTGTTAACATTTTATTGTCTGATTATTTTTTGACTCATTAAAAGGAATTTATAAATACAGTGACCTCTTTTTTTCCTTAATTTTTTTCAATATGTTTTCTACTATGTGAAACATTCTTTTACCTATATGGGATAGTATTCATTTGTAGCAAATTGAATACTGATACTGTACTTTATTGCCTACTTTTTTTTTTTTTTTTTTTGTCGGTCATGGGGCTTGAACTCTGGGCCTGGGCGCTGTCCCTAGCTCTTCAGCTCAAGGCAAGTGCTCTACCACTTGAGCTACAGCGCCACTTCCGGTTTTCTAGTGGTTTATTGGAGATAGGAGTCTCACGGTCTTTCCTGCCCGGGCTGGCTTTGAACCGCGATTCTCAGATCTCAGCCTCCTGAGTAGCTAGGATTACAGGCGTGAGCCACCGGCGCCCGGCTTCCACCTGTATCCTTAAACGACTTGTTTTTCCCCCATCTCCTAGCACTGAGATTTTTAAAGTATGTATCTCCCCTTTAAACAAATGCTGGTCATCCTGGTGTTTATTGTTGTGCATTTTCAGCCAGAAAGTAAGATGAGCACTGTCTCTTTTCTTTGGACACCACATGTGTAGATGTACTGTGTCCATCTGCCCCTCCTTAGTGATGTTAGAATACTTGGTAAATGTGTTGTCTTGTTTCTACTACATATTTTTCTTTCTCAACTAATGAACAAGCATTGGAAGACATTTTAAAATCATGCAAATATACTGGTCTTCATAAAAATGTCCCCTTCAATTTAACATTCATGATTATATTTGCTTGCTTTACATTTTACTATGTTGGTATAAAATGTTGATTTTTCTAATTTTGGCACTATCTCCTTATTTATTAGTTAGGGCTCAGCATTCTGCTGCAAGCAAAGTCTCCTTTTTCCTCACTTACTTATTGTTATTAGTGGTGCTATAAACTAATAATAAATTATTCTTCCCCTCTCCCAGTGTTTCATAATTCGTTACTACATAAAGGATTTGATTCTTGGGTCAGTGGTGATGAAGAAATCAGTGACTACCTGCAATTATGTACAATGTTTTTGTGCTGTTAAGGCCTTTTTCTGGGAATAGTGTCCATTACTTTTGACTTGAGTGTGTTAAGTGCCGTGGGCTTTTGTGAAGGGTTTGATTTTTAAGCTGTTTGTAATGTTTATGTATTTGTATATTCTTTCCCATGTGAATAACTGAATTTTTAGGACCATAGTATATCTCCCTCTCTGAAACACCTTATAATTTTCATTTGCTGTTTTTAAAACACAACTTTAGGTAGTGTTATATTTTGGCTTAAGTTTTTCACTGGAGTATATAATAAATGCTAATGTCTTCATTGCCACTGTGGCAGTACTTGATGATATAGAACTAGTCTTGTGTGAAGCAATGAATTACCTTGATTTCATTTGAAATTTTAAAACCAATGTTTTTTACACTGTAGTTTTATTAGCTCCCTGGGAGTGAGCTACATGATGTTGTGCACTGAAAATTACCCAAATGTTCTCGCCTTCTCTTTCCTGGATGAGCTTCAGAAGGAATTCATTACTACTTATAGCATGATGAAGACAAATACCGCTGTCAGACCATACTGTTTCATTGAATTTGGTAAGGGCCTGATTCTCCTCCTTTTTTTTATTATCCCATCTCCATATAGTCATAGACAATTTTCTACCTAATAGTAGGGGTTAGAAGGAAAACTTCAACTACCTTACTTTTGACAGAATTGTTTGGCAAATGACAACTTTTTACTTATTTAGATACCTGTTAGAAAAAATTGTGTTTGAGCTTAACGGCAGTGTGATTTTGATTGATTCCAGAGGACAGTTTCTCAATGAGAAATTTATAAGTCAGATTCAAAGTTTTGTGGTTATATAATAATCTTTTACAGTAATCTTGCTTAATGTAGGACAGTGGTTGGCAAACATTTGCTGGAAAGGACCAGAGACTGTGTGGCTTTAAAAGCCACACAGTCTCTGCCAATTCTGCCATTGTAGCTTGAATGTAGCCACAATACATAAATGAATGAGCAAAATTATAGTCTAATAAAACTATTTGCAAAACCAGCAGGCTCAATTTGGCTATGGGTAGTTGTTTGCTCAACTCCTGATAAAAGGGGAAAAAAACAAATAAAATTCTTCTTGGAAGATATTTAAGAAATAATCATTGTTTTTATTAGACTTATTCTTTATTTAAAGCACTTATTCTAATGGTGTAAGCAATAAGTATGAAAACAAATTTGTAACAACATGTTGCTTGTGTTATATAATTGCAACTAATAATAGATCTAATATTTCATAAGGTAAGAATTACGGTAAAAATTAAAACTTTAGTTTAAAAGTAAAGCCATTTGTTTCTGTAATTCCTTGAATTAAACCCTTAGTTTAACACTTCTTTAGTTTTTAGTTTTAGAGTGAAAAACTGTCTACTCCAGAATATACTGTATAACACAAGTAAATTAGAAATTCCATGACAAATTGAATAACAAACTTTATAAAATTTACTACCCTTGAACATCACATTCTCAAATGATTTAATTGACAAATGAATCCAAGGAAATTTATTTTTTATTTTACATAGATAATTTTATTCAGAGGACCAAGCAGCGATATAATAATCCCAGGTCTCTTTCTACAAAGATAAATCTGTCTGACATGCAGATGGAAATCAAGCTAAGGCCACCTTATCAAATTCCCATGTGTGAATTGGGGTCAGCCAATGGAGTCACATCTGTATTTTCTGCTGACTATAAAGGTGCTGGTAAGATTTCTTCTGGTGAGTTCTGGATTTCAATTATGTCATTAATTTCTTTTTGTAAGAACTGAGGAACTCTTGAAAATGAATTACTTTATTCTAGTATTTTAAATTAAGTATGTAGGAGACTATAAAAATTCAAAGCAATCATTTTTCTCAGTTGTTAACAAGAAAGCTACCAGATAAGTAACTAGGAAAATACTTTCAAATAATAATCATAAAGGATCTCTTGCTAGAACAACATTTAAAATTTCTTTGTAAGCCTTTAGATAAAATGAAAAATAGTTTTTTTGCATTATATATTTATAGGCATGTAAAATACATTATGTTAGATTGGCAATATTTAAACCAGGGTTCTTGACTGAGACCCCAAATGGAAAGACTTCAGTGATTATCTGCTCAAACCTCTACTCCCAAAGAAAGTACACCTTCCTCAAGTGTTGTGACAGAATTAGAAACCTCATTGCTTTGTAAAGTAGTGTATGCCATTGCTGGACTGCTTGTTAAAATATTTTCTTGTATCCTGAAGTCTCCCTTTTCCCTCTCTTCTCACCCCCTCCTCTCCACCTTTAAACTGCAATCCTCAGATCTCAGCCTTCTGAGTTGCTAGGATTACAGGCATGAGCCATCAAAGCCTGGCCAAGTGTGCTTTCTTTAATGCCTATCAACTTGTCTAGGTTCTATAACTTGCCTTCCATCAGCTAGAAGGAGCATTATTGGATTTAAAGAAGCTAACTAAAGAAAAAGCATTGTAGTAAAGGAATAGCAAAACCAAATGAAAAATATCGAGGTGATACTGCTTTGTTTTATTCCTATACTGTCATTGTTCCAAATGTACTCTACACCTGACTGTGCCTAGCATGGTGTCAAGTTGAAATGTTCAGTAAGTATGTTAGAAAACAGTGAATTTGAAGTCTGTTTTACTGAAACAAAAAAGAGCATGTAGAGCATAAAACATTAAAAAGAGGTTAAATATCTAGTTTAGCTGTTAAAATGAGAAATAATCCTTCAGTAGGGTTACCTTTTTGCATTTTATATAGGCAAATTTTCTTGGTAACTGTTCTCTAAATACAAGTCCTCCTTGCCCCAAATCCTGTGAAGGAGAGAGGCTGGGAATTGGGAAATGGCCACTTTAGAATTTCTTTCTCATACAATTTGTCATAGTGCCAGCAAGCACAATGCTTACATTGTCCTTGTTAAAGGAGGCTTAGCATTTGCTTTTATACTTTCAAATTATCTTTAGTCATTTTGAAATAAGTAGTTTATAAATGATGTGCTATTCTTATAGACTGCTTCAAAGCCAAAAGGCAATTATTAGAAACTTAATAATATATATGGACTTACTGTACATTTCTTATATGGATACTCATTGACAAATGTAAACATACCTTTCTACCGAAGAATGGCTACCCCTTAACCATATAAAACTAAATAATTTTAGTTATAGTGTAGAGTATTATTTGTGACTTTTAAAAATTGGTCAGTTTTCTTATATTTTAGAAGCATGTTTCACATAATCTAGTCAGTTGGTGGTTTTTGTAGGCCCATATTAAGGATTCATCTTTTAGTGAACCATTTCTTCCTTACTGAGAGATGGTGGGAAGGGAGAGAAAACGAGTTACAAAATACAACTTATTGGTAGGTAGATTTGTTGTATAGGTTTTTAACTGGTGAGATTTTTTCTTTCCTCTACTGATTAAAGATCTTGGTGTTAATACTTTATTCAAGTTTTTTGATTTTCTGTTTTTATATTAAAATCTCAAGAAAATTGAGCGATAAGACACAGACAACAAAGAAAATTTAGGAAAATGTTCTGTTAGTATTTTCTACTGAATTTTAATAAATACTTGTGATATGTAGGGTTTTTTTTTCTAGCTGTTTAGGGAGTCTTTTCTGCTATAACGGCTAAATATAACTTGCAAAGGTTTAAGCCCTTCTTATATTAATGTTCCACCTCATTAACTTCATTGTTGGGATTTTCCACTTCAGTAGTTTAAATAAAATAATAAAAATGTGGTCTTTTGTTCTCTTTTTGCCTATGTCTCCCTTTTGAGGTCTAATGATTATGTACTTAGTTTTGTGTTTTTGTTTGGTCTCCATTGTTAATTCTTTTAAGTGCAGGATGTTAATATAACTGAAACCCTGAAAGATTATAGAGAATGTGTAAAAATAAAATAAGTCAAATTTTCATCTTGTATTTTACTGTTTTAACCTTCAAGTGGTATTCATAGGACCAAGAACTTTGTAACTATTAGACTGCTTTCTAAAAAGTTCAGATTGGTGATGGTTCATGCCCTTTTACATGTATCTAGTCATTTTTATAGACTTGAAACCTAAGTAAGAAGGAGCTTTGCTTAAAATTAAGCAAGCTATGTTTGTCCTTTACAATGTGTTCCAAGTATTTTCAGAAAAAATAGGAATTATGCTAAGAATTTCCAAGCAAAGTCATCTTTGCAAATACTTGTGCTACTTGAAAATGTTAGACATATTTAAGTGAAATGTTTTCCCAAATGATTTACTGCCAAATAAAATGTAAAGTAAAAGATTTTAATTTAAGTACAAGAGAATGGAGCCTGGTAGCAGTGGCTCATGCCTATAATCCTAGCTATTCAGTAGACTGAGATCTAAGGATTTCAGTACATAGCCAGCCGGAGCTGAGAAGGTCCATGAGACTCATCTCCAATTAACCCCAGAAGAAGCTGGAAGTGGTTCAAGTTAGAGTGTTAGCCTTGACCAAAAGGATTCTATGGCACTGCCCAGGCCCAGAGTTCAAGCCCCAGGACTGGCCCCCCCCAAAAAAGAAATAAATAAATAAAGAGGAGGAGAAGGAAGTTTTTATGTTGTCAAACATTTTAAAAAAGAATATTCAGTTACTAAAATATGTTTGTATAAAATTACTTATTTTTGACCCCTTTAAGTAGTGAATTTCTGTTTAACATAAGTTCAGCCAATATGAGATGCAGATACTCACTTTCTAACCACTTATTTTATTTTCTAGCTCACCAGCGACTAGAACCAGCAACTTTGTCAGGGATGGTGGCATTTATCCTTAGTCTTTTATGTGGAGTTCTGAATTTAATTCGAGGTTTTCATGCCATAGAAAGTCTCCTGCAGGTATTGTGCTATTTTTAAATTTTTAGGTGACTATCTATTCATTTCTCCTTGTTAATTGATTTGAATTGGATGAAGTCTTAGTGCAGTTTACATTGCATGCTTAAAGGGCTGTGTTCTTTATACCTACCTTCTCCTCTCTTCCGTTAAAAATACCAATTTCAGCCGGGCGCCCGTGGCTCACGCCTTTATTCTTAGCCACTTAGGAGGCTGAGATCTGAGGATCATAGTTCAAAGCCAGCCCAGGCAAGAAAGTCCATGAGACTCTTGTCTCCAATAAAACTGGAAGTGGCGCTGTGGCTCAAGCAGTAGAGTGCTCGCCTTGAGCTGAAGAGTGCAGGGATAGTGCCCAAGCCCGGAGTTCAAGCCCCATGACCGACAAAAAAACAAACAAACAACAACAACAACAACAACAACCGATTTCTAGTTGGCATCTTTGACTTCATCAGCATACATTTATTTCTTGTGTCCTCTTTAGGAGGTACTGTGAGGACACTGAACTATATGTGACATGAGATTTAGAGTTGCGCAGCTTAAAGATGAATTGAGGAAGAAAAAAAGATGAATTGAGGAGGCAAAGAAGTTATGGATAATTGCCAAGTATGCAGAACTGGGAAGGGGAGAGGTCAGTGAGTCAGGACAGAAGTGAGCAGTGTGAACTGGTCTTATAGCTGCAGAGGAGAGTACATGTGGCCAGTGTTCATATGCTACTTCTGTGTATTTCTGCTTAGTTATCTGATCCTTTTTAGTTTTGGTCAGTGGTCTTTTAAAACCTGAGCTACCTAGGAAATCATCAATGCTATGTTCTCCTTTATATTGTCCATCCTTTGGTCTTCAGTCTAGCGCATTTAAGACTGCACAGTTTTCCTTTCCCTTGTTTTTATTACTTTCTCTATAAAGAATTATCAATGCCTCCACATCATGAATCAAACATATCTCTCTACTTTTCTCTACTTCTACTTCTTTCTCCTATTCTTTTGGTCAGTATTAAGCTCAGAATACCCCTTAGAAAGATCCACTCAACACTTTATATTCTGTTTTAAATGCGCTGCTTGGGCAATAGTCAGGGTACTATTCAACAAACACTGAATTCATTTAGCCTCCCAAACCCAAAAGCAGGTGAAATAGGTTCTGCTAGAAGAGCTGAACTTATACTCAACATATGGGACTTTTCATCAGTTTTCACTTCTTCCAAAAACACCTTTTGCCCACAGGTAAAGTCCCTATTCCTTTTCAGGTATAGCAAGCTATCTGTTGTCCTGGGCCTTCCTTTTCCTTGTCCTCTACTAAGGACAAGGAGTTTAACACAAAGAGTTTAACCTTTTAGCTAACTAGACAAGCTGTCAAAGAGAAGAAATGGGCAGTTTGGAAACTGCTGACTAAAGAAGCTAACAGTAATAAGATTGTCTTTATTGTTGTTTTAAGATTTCATTGATACAATGGAAAGAACAGTAATGTAGGTGTGTGAAGAGTTGATTTTTTGTTGTGGAGAAAAGGGTTTTTTTCCTCTTACATCTCTAACTTAAAATAGTGTATAAATTACAGAGCCTGAGCTTAGGCCATATCGTCTTTTAAGTTAAAATGCAGACAAGGATATACTTCAAAAAACTTGTTAAGGGGAACTATAATTTCTTCAGAAACTCAGATATCCTATCTTTCCTGCTCTTGGGCTTATTCATTCCTTCTCTTTTCTCAGATTCATAATGTAAAAACTAAGACAGATATTTATGCTCCTGAGATACTCTTAATTAGCTAAAGCTTCCATTAATTCCTAATTGTTTCATATTCTCCTTTTGATCTGCAGAATATTTGGCTCATTGCATTTGATATAATTTTGATAGAATTAACAGTTTGTAACTTACATGTAACTGATGGTTTCAGATTTCTCAGCTTGTTTACATTTTAAAAAGACTTTACACACCAGTATCTTTCTTGAGTATACATGCAGAAATTTTCATCAATGTTTCTTGGATATTCAAGGCTGCTTTAATATCTGAAATGGATTACTACAATTTGTTAGATTCAACTAGCTAAATAAAATAATATGATCATATCCACAGTGTAGATAAATATTTGACAAAAACCAACTCCATGCAAAATAAAATCTTGCAAAAAACTAAGAATAGAGGGTAACTTTCTGACCTTGATAAAGAACATCTACCAAGAAAAAAAAAAAAGCAAAAGCCCTATAGTTAGTGTCATGAAGAACTAAATACTTTTCCCCTATGGCAGAAATAAGACAAAGATGTCTACTTACATGCTAATCAATATTGTATTGGAAGTCCTAGTTAATGTAATAAGACAAAAAAGGAAGTAAAAGATCTATAGATTGGGAAAGAGGAAATAAAACTTTGAATATGACATGATTGTATAGAAAATTTTAAACAACAAAAACCTAGAAAAATAATAAGTGATTATAGTAAGGTTGTAAGATATAAGAGATAAAGAATACAAAAGTTACTGTTCTATATATTGGCAAGGAACAATTGAAATTTGAAATGAAAAACAGTACCACTGATACTGATTGCAAAGAAAAAGTTAATTAACAAACTATGTATGAGATCCTATTTAAAAACTATGCATATACTATAAAAACTAATACATCAAGTATCTAACTACATAGAGATTCCATGTTCAGAAATAGGAAAAGTCAATGTTGTTGACTTTTGGTCTATAAATTCAACACAATCCCAAACAAAGTCCTATCAAGTTATTTTGTAGATATGGATAAAGGAATTCTAACATTTATAGACCCAGTGTATACAGAAAAGCAAACCTCTATTTTTACTCACAACTCAATGCTTTTAGAATTTCACTCTTTACTAGATGGGTGAGAGATTTACCCATTCAAACCAATTCTCCAATACCAACTGGGTGCCCTACAATTTAATTCATTTCTGACACTATCTACCTGGAGTTAGCACAGTCCTCATCACTTAAGGACTCAGTCCCATAAGACTCTCCCCACTTCAGTTGCCAGTTGCAAGTCTAGATTGTCACCTGTATTTATAACCAACCAACTCTAAATTGGAGATTCTCACAACTCCTTCCTGAGTGGCTTGCAGGATTTATGGAAACATGTTTACTGGTTTATTATAAAGGATATTACAAAAGATACAGAAGGGCCTGAGCACAGCAGCTTCTGTCTCTGTAGAGTTGGGGCTTGCTAATCTTCTCACATGTAGATATGTTCCCCAGTATGGAAGTGCTCCAACTTTATTGTCTTAGAGAATTTTAAGAAAGCATGACTGTTTATTAACTTAATATTCAGCTCCTCTGTCCCCTGAAGATGGAATAGGAAAAATCCAAAGGCTTTCAGCATGACTAATTCTTCGTGTTTTTTTTTTTTTTAATCGGTTGTGGGGCTTGAACTCTGGACCTGAGCGCTGTCCCTCAGCTCTTCAGCTCAAGTCTAGTGCTCTGCCACTTGAGCTACAGCGCCACTTCCGGTTTTCAGGTGGTTTATTAGAGATAAGAATTTCATGGTCTTTCCTGCCTGGGCTGGCTTTGAACAGAGATCCTCAGATCTCAGCCTCCTGAGTAGCTAGGATTACAGGCGTGAGCCACTGGTGCCTGGCTTGACTTCTTCTTTTGTAACTAGTCCTCATCCAACAGTCCACCAAGAATTGCCTTAGAACAAAAGATGCTCCTATCACTACAAAATTCCATAGTGTTGATAATTCTGTGTGAAATGCTCCTATAACCTAAGAAATTACAAAGATCTTAGGGCTTTATAACAAAACCAAGAGCAAATAATAGAACATATTTTCTAGCACCTCTCTGTATAAAGGTTTTAGGAAGTCTGTGTTAAGAACCAGTGGCAGATTGTTTGTTCGTTTTTCACACCTAGAAGTCTATACATACTAAGAATGAGGAACAAAGTTGGAAACTCATATTACTAAACTTTTAAGCCTTACTAGAAAGTACAATAATTCAAACAATGTGAATTGACAAAAGAATAGACAAGTAGATCAATACAACAGAATAGAGTCCAGAAATAAATCCACATCCATATAGTCAATGTATTTTTGGTACAGGAACAAAAGGAATTCAGTGGAGGAAGTTTAGTCATTTCCAGTAAATGATGCTGGAACAACTGGAAATCCACATGCAAAAGTATGAATATAGACACAGATATATGCTTTACAAAAATTAACTCAGAATGGGTCATAGACCTAAATGGAAAGCATAGAACTTAACATTTCTAAAAGTTAATATGGGAGACAACCTATGTCACCTATATGATCTTCGGTATAGTGAGCAAAAACTATGAAAGAAAAAGTTGGTACGTTAGATTTCGCTAAATTTAACTTCTGTGAAAGACACTGTTAAAATAATGAAAAAGAAGCTACAGGGTAGGAGAAAATATTTGCAAAACACTTAATAAAGGGGTTTGCCTCCAAAATACACACAGAACTCTTAAAACTCAAAAATAAGAAAGCACACTAACCTAATAAATGACCAAAGATCCAAATGGATACCTTACCTGGGTATATACAGGTGACAAGTAAACATAAAAAGATGCTCAGCATCATATGTCATTATGGGGTTGCAAAATCACAACAATGTGATATCAAACACCTGCTAGAATGGTGAAAAAAAATTGTACCCAGTGTGGATGAGGATAAAGAACAACAGAATCTTCCATTCAGTGTTGGTAGAAGTACAAAAGTGGTATCACTATTTTGGAAAAAAACCAGGTATTTCTCACAAAGCTAAACATAGCCTTGCCTTATTGTCCAGTAAAAGTGTACTTATATCTGTCTTTCCAGATGAGTAGAAAGCTTTTATCCCACACAGAAAATTGCATATGATGTTAATAGTAGCTTTATTCATAATTCCAAAAGCCTAAAAGCAACTGAGAAAGATGACTTTCAAAGGTGAGTGGATAAGCTATTGTAATCCATACAAAGAACTGTTCTTCAATATTAAAAAGAAATGAGCTGACAAACCACAAAAAACATGGATAAATCTTAAGTGAATATTGATTAATGAAAGAAGTC